CAGTGTCTTGAGTTGCAGTGTTAGGTCATTTATTTGGGCTCGTTCCAATTTTTTAACGTAGGCTCTTAGAGCTATAAACTTCCCTCTTAGCACTGCTTTTAATGTGTCCCAGAGGTTGTGCTGTGTTGTATTGTCCTTTTCATTGAATTCTAGGAATTCTTTTTATTTCTTTCTTAATTTCTCCTTTGACCCACTCATTGTTTAGGAGTGCGTTGTTCAACCGCCACGAGTTCGTGTAGAGACTAGGGCTTTGTCCACTGTTGATTTTGAGCTTTATTGCATTGTGGTCCCATAGAATGCATGGAAAATTATCAGTTTTTTTGTATTTGTTGAGGTTTGTTTTGTGGCCCAGTATGTGGTCAACTTTTGAAAAAGTTCCATGAGGTGCTGAGTAGAAAGTATATCCTTTGGTGCTTGGGTGGAATATTCAAAAGATGTCTGTTAGGTCCATTTGATGTATGATATTATTTAATTCAGACATCTCTCTATTTATTCTTTGTCCAGTTGACCTGTCTAATGGAGAGAGTAGGGTATTGAAATCCCCAACTGTTACTGAGTTGGGGTTAATCTGTGTCTTAAAAGTCCTGTATTGTTGTTTTTATGAATTTGGGTGTACCAGAGTTTGGTGCATATATGTTAAGGATTGTAAGATCTTCTTGGTTAACTGTTCCTTTGATCGGAATTAAGAGACCCGCCTTATCTCTTCTGATTAGTTTTACTCTGAAGTCTATTTTGTCAGATATTAGAATTGCAACCCCTGCTTGTTTCTTAATGCTGTTTGCTTGGAATATTCTTTTCCATCCTTTTACCTTAAGGTAGTGCCTGTCTTTGAAGGTGAGATGGGTTTCTTGCAGACAGTCAAGAGATGGATTTTGTTTCTTAATCCATTCACTTAGCCTTTGTCTTTTGACAGTGTAGTTCAGTCCATTGATATTTAAGGTTTTTATTGAAAAATGCATATTGGTTGCCGTCATTTTGATTGCTCTTTGTGTTCTCTATTTTTTTGTTTCCTAGATTATACCTTTATTTTCTTTCATTGTCCCTGGGGTACAGTTGTTTCTCTCTCTGCTCTCTGTATTGCTTCAAGTATTCTTTGAAGGGCTGGTTTTGTGGACATAAATTCTTTCAGGCTATTCGCATTATGGAAGATGTCTCTTTCCCCCTCAACTATAATAAACATTTTTCCTGGGTAAAGTATTCTGGGCTGGCATCTATTGTAATGTAGAACTGGAAATACCTTGGTCCAGGCTTTTCTGGCTTTCATAGTTTGCATTGATAAGTCAGCTGTAATTCTAATGGGCTTTCCTTTGTATGTGACGTGTTTTTCTTTTACTGCTTTCAGTATTCTTTCTTTGTTCTGTACATTTGGTGTTTTTACTATGATATGTCATGGAATGTTTCTTTTCTGATCTGGTCTATTTGGTGTTCTATGTGCTTCCTCTATTTGTATGGGGATGTCTTTCCTTAATTTTGGGGAATTCTATTCTATAGTCCTGTTTAAGATCTGGTCAGCACCATTAACCTGAAATTCTTCTCCTTCCTCTATTCCTATGATCCATAGATTTGGTCTTTTCATGGTGTCCCGCATCTCTTGCATATTCCATTCCTGTGTTTTTTTTTTTAAATTTTCCATAATCTTTGCTTGACTGGTCCAGATCTTCAACTTTATCCTCCAGTGTTAATACTCTGTTTTCCATTTCATCCATTCTAGCAGTGAGGCTTTCCCCTGTTGTTTCAGGTTGACTTATTGAGTTTTGCCCTTCCTTCTTCATTTCTGCCTGAGTTTTCTTCAGTGTTTCTCTTCTTTTGTGAATTCATTCAGAAGTTTATCCCTATCTTCTTTTAGTTCTTTGATTTGTTTGTTCATGTGTTCTTTAAATTCGTTGAATTCTTTGATCATGTTTATGATTGTTCTTTTAAATTTAGTGTCCTGAGTTATCTCTAGGGGGTTTTCCTTGTAGAACTCTTCTAGGGCATTGGTGAAGTTTGGTGGGGACATAGTGTTATGGCTTTCCATTTTATTATTCTTTCGTTGTAATTTTGGCATGTGAATTTCTTTTGTTTATGATTCTGATATGAGAATTAAATTGAAGTATGCTTCTTTGTATTATCGGAGTGCCTAAATCCTTTTTTTATTGGCTATGTAAAGCTGGTTGGGATAGGGTTCAGTTTCTCTCAGGTTTAATTTGGAGGGAACTGATGGCCTCAGATCCACTATTGAGGAGTACCCACAATTGAGGAGAAGCCCAATTCAGGTTCCAGTCAGGTACACTCAGGCTTCCTTCACCACATGGAGGCAGGACCTGAGAGCTCTCAGGCAGTCCCCTTGAGAGGGACCTCAGGAAATCCCAGGTAGGGGTATGGGTATGTCGCAATTAGGGGAAGCTCACCACCACATGGAGGCAGGACCTGAGGGCTCTCAGGCAGTCCCCTGCGTTCTCAGGCCCGAGGCCAGAGGGAGGCCAGAACTCAGCACTCTTTGGAGGTTTGCTGATATCAGAGCTACTACCCAATGGAGGTCTGAACCCACCCTCTATGGGTGTCTGCTAGGATCTCAGCCTTAGCCTACCAAAGCCAGATCTGCCCTGGGGCCTTGGGAGGGCCCTCACGAAATCACAGATAGGGGAATGGGTATGGCGTAATTAGGGGAAGCTCACCACCATGTGGAGGTAGGATCTGGGGGCTCTCAGGCAGTCCCCTGCATTCTTAGGCTGTCTCCCATAGGGAGGCCAGAACTAGGCACTCCCTAGCAGTCTGCTGAGATCAGAGCCACTACCTGATGGTGGTCCGAACCCACCCTCTCAGCTGTTTTAATTGTGCCCTGATTAAAGGATCAAACAAAGGCTAGTAATGCTGGCGTTTGTATTAGTGTCTCCATTACATTATGTATCTTTTCTTTGGACCAATTTCAGTTTTTTCTCTTTTTGAATTTAAGAAGTTTTGACTATTATGCACTTTCTTATTTCTTTCCGTTTATCTTGCCATAAATTGACAAGTCTGTTCTACATCCAGTATGGGAAGATTCTAATTCTAGCTGTTGTTTTAGTGCTTTTTTCTGTCTATCTCCCTTTTATTCTTAGACTTAGGACAGTATTTGAAACTTTTAACTCATTGAGACTTTGTTCCTTTTATCTTTTTTCTCCCTTCTTTAGATTGAGCGCTGAACGTAGGTGCTCTGGAAGAGCAGCAAGGGCTCTTAACTGCCACACCATCTCTCCAGCCCTGAACTTTGAAACTTCTGATTTTTTTTTTTTCTTGTCCAGAGTGTATAAATATTATTTGTGGCAGGTTATTTTACCATAGATAAAATTCAGAACTCTGTCACATTTAAACTTTTATTTTACCAACCCTTATACTATAGATATTTATCCCCACCCTCAAAACTGATTGTCAACAATATTGACAGACATTCATTTTTCTTCTTGCTCCCCTGTAAACCATATGTCAAGTTAAGATTTTATTTGAGATTTAGTTTCGAAGTTTTGACTTTATTTTGAAATTTTAAGAAATTTTATGCGCGTGTTGCCTGCATATAAGTGGACCTGTGCATGCCATGACTACATAAGCCAGAGGCCAGAAAGGGGTGTTGGAGCCCCTGAAACTGGAGTTACACATGGTTGTTAGCGGCCATTTGGGTGCTGTGGAACTGAACCTGGGTCTTCTCCAAGAGCAACGAGGGCTCTTTACTGCTGAGCCCCTTTCGTTTTATCTAGAGATAGTATTCTATGTTCAAAATAATTTTCATTCAGAAATTTGAAGAGATGAGTTTCATTTTTTTCTAGTCTAGATTTGTTGTCACTGGAGCCTGTTATCCATATGGATTTTTTTCTTCTTGTTTCAATCTATTTGATTTGAGATGGGCTGTGTGTGTGTGTGTGTTTTACATGCAATATAATAGTTTAGTTATGAGGCCAAAGCCTTAGTATTAAAGTGGTAAGTTGGATTTTATCAAAATTGAAGGCTGTTGCTTTAAAAAATATTATGGCCACCAGCTGATCTCAAGCATTTAAACAGTTGTGTGGAAGCAATGGCTAAAGGAGATGGGCCTGTATAGGAGAGGATTTGGGTTTTAGAAAAAACACCTTGACTCTATATTTAGTGTAAGGAAAAGACTCAGATTGAAGTCACATATATTTGGTTTTGGAATCCAGCCGTGGCTCTCACTAGCTTTGTAACCTTGATCAATTTGTAATATTTTAGAATACAAAGCAAACATCTGAGACACATTTCTGTCTTTCCTGTCAGCCCTTCTGGCTCTTTCTTGAGAATCAGATGCAGCCATGCATGTGAAAACACCTTGAGGTGAGAACTATTTAGTAGTCTACCTTCCCCTCTGTGCTGGGCAGATGATCCTGTGACATTTTGTGAAAAAATGATTTGAGCATTATTAATTGCTGCATATTTACACAAGCAAATAAATGAAAAGGAATAGTCCCAATATGTTAATAGTGGACCACTGAAGACTGAGAACTCCCAAGAACCAAAGAAATATTGAGGTTTTTTTTTTATCTTTTTGAGACAGGGTCCCTCTGTAGCCCCAGCTGGCCTGGAACTTGCTATGTAGACCAAGCCGGCTTTGAACTCAGAGATCTGCCTGCCTCTACCTCCCGAGTGCTGAGACTTAAGTATTGAGTTCTGTATACAATAACAGAAGGGTGTGGGGGATGGAGAGAAATGCCTACAGTATTGTTTAAGCCCCCGTAAAAGATTAATATGTACTTTGTACCTCTTGGTGTGTCCACCCTGGGAGACCTCTTACTTTCACAGATATGATTATGAAAAACATCCAATTTATTATGAGTGGTAGAAGGAAACTCTGACTTTGTAACTGGATAACCAGACTGATGAGGAAAATCTGTCTCTGGAGTCTGTGGTTTTTAACAATGGGAATTTATTGCAAAAAAAAAAAAATTGGGAAAGGAGGGAAGCAGGGAAGACAGAGGACATAGGAGAATGGGTAACTGGGTATTAATAGTGGAAAGATAAGGGTTGAGCATCTTTTCTGATGCTCAGGCAGAGGTAGATGTGGTTAGTTGTTGAAGCTGAATATAAATTGAACAAGTGGAGTGGTAGCGACTTTGCTGCCTGAGTCAGAACAAGAAGCAGGAACAGAGGCTTCTAGATCTTGTTGCAGAGAGGTTCATTCTGACAGCACATAATTTGCATTCTTGTTCCATGAGAGAAGAGGTTCATAGATGGGCACATGTTCTCACAGCCCTGAACCATGAACTGGAGTTTTCCACCTGAAAGGAGCAGAAACAACTGGCATTAGCAGAAAGCTTCCTCCAAACTTACCTTTTATTCAAGCTCACCAGTGTTCCCATTTGGGGATGACCAGGGCTTCATGCCTTGTTTTTCCTATTCCTCCCCATCTCATCTGTCTGTTTATATTACTTGTTCATTCTCTTCCTTTCTGTTAGCTCCTTTTTTGATTTACAAACATGAAAAAGTTTCAAGTTCGATAATATTTTTTCTTGATTGTATTATTCTGCCATTATCCTTTCCTCCAGAGAGTTTGCTAACCATACCTTAACCATCCCATTCACATCTGGGTCCCAGGTACTCAGAATTGCAAGGTTTCACTAGAAAATTATGTTCATCAAATTCCCAGGGTTTTTTCACACCACTTTTTTGGCTGTATGTAGTTGATATTGTTTACACCTTTCTCCTGACAAGATTTTCCCAGATACTCTGTCTACTGCTAGGATTCTAATAATCTCTGCTGTTCAAAGTTGAATCCCTCCATTTCTAACTAAATGATGGTGATTCCCATGCAGATATGTTAAAGACATGTAAAACTTACTGTGCCCCAAATGAGACTCACTACCATCCTCTATACACCTTGCTTTCCTAGTGTCCCTTAGCTGTATTCTGTACCACCCTCTGAACTCCTCTTTTATCCCTGCTTTCTCTTTTTGCTCTGTCTGTTCAAGTGGCTGTCAAGTTCTGTCAACTTTATTCACGTAATATATTTCCTATCATTTCATTTCCATTCAACATTTAAGGGATCTTTACTCTGTAGTGAGATATGCCAGACCTTGGAGAATATTAATACCTGGGACTCTGTCAATAGCTAATGAAGTTAATTTCACTCTTCTAATTTTTAATTACCTGTCTTCTAACAAAAAAAAGAAAAAAAATCCTACTTTTTGAGGATTCAATGAAAGAATACTCAAAAGTATAGCCCACAGTGTCTGGCATGTGGAGCAGAGTAAATAAAAGGAGAACTACTAGTATTCACCTTACCAAGTCATTCCCTCCAAATTTCTAAATTCAGACTCTTTAAGTTGCCATTGAGAGTTGTGTATGACTTGTCTTTAGCCTATCAACATTTCCACATTTATTTTCTTCTGTTTCCCTTACTTGCCATACCCAAGAGAGTTTAAGAGAGGTGTTTTTTTTGTTGTTGTTGTTGGTTTTTTTTGTTTTGTTTTGTTTTTTCTGTTTGTGTTCTATACTTTTCTGGCTTTTACTCCTATCTGTTTTTGGCATGTCTTTCAGTGGCCATTGCAGAATGACTGATTAGTCGTTCATTTCTGGCATTTAATTGGTACAGCCTGAGCGTTAGGATTTTTATTTTGTTATTTAAAAATGAAACATTTATTTATTTGGGGTGTGTGTGGATGTGGATGTGTGTGTGTGAAGGTCAAGGACCAACTTTCAGGAGTTGGTTCTCCTTCCACCACATGACTCCAGGGCATCAAACTCAGGTCATCAGTTTGATGGGCAGACTCCCTTACTTGCTGAGCCTTCTTGCCAGTCCTATGCATTTTAAAAAGCTGCTCAGGCTATTGTCATACACAGCCAAAACTAGGAACTACTGATATATTTTACATGTTCTTTCTGAATGCCCTCTTCTCTCCAGGCTTACCTGCTTTCCTCGTCTGTAAACTTTTCTTCCTCTGTGAACTCACAGCATTTTGTATGCCCACCTCCCCCAACTCCTTTTCTTTAGAGTAGGTCTTGCTGTGTAGCACAGACTGGCTTCTTGAACTCTGTAATCCTTCTTAGCCTCCCAAATACTGAGATTACAGGCATGCATCTCCACACTCAGATTATGCCTTTGTTCACACACTACACTACTTTTCTCTTTTGTAGTATTTCTTATGCTAATACCACAGTCTATTAAGAACTCATGGTATGTGTTCTATTGAGTAATAGTGGGTAAATGTACAGTCACAGAAATGTGGGGAAGTGTTATTTCTAGTGAAGGATTGGACAAACCAAGAGTTGGGCAATATGGTGTATGGAATGGAAATAATCAAGTTCCTTTATTTTAGAGATGAATACTAAGTTTTAGCATAGACAGATATGGGAATGTACACTCATTATCTGGCAGCCTATAGATTAATAGAGTTATTAATGTATTCATTCAGTGTTTTCTAAATGCCTACCATGTTATACATTATGCTGTAGGGAGATACGGCTATGAACAAGATAGTCTTGAATTGATAGTGTATTAGAAGCTTAAGGGGCAATTTACAGATTATTTAGTAGGAAGAGAGCCAGCCTCTGCTTTGTTTATTTTATTTTAATTAATTTAGTATTTATTTATTTAATTGGTCTTTTTGAGATAGGGTCTCCCTGTAGTCCTAGTTGGCTTGGAATTTGCTATGTACACCACGGTGGCCTTGAACTCACAAAGATCCACCTGCCTCTGCCTCCCAAGTGCTAGAACTAAAGGCTGTGCCACCATGCCCAGCCTTCATTTATTTTAAAGAGCTTTAGGTCTGATGTGAAAGTCCTCTGTCTCTCCATCAATACCTAGAGTTCTAATCCTTGAAAGAATCTCCAAGTGCATTGTTGATCCCTCTGTAGCTCTTTCCCCCTTGACTACCATTATTACCATGTGTTCTGTGGAAGATTATCTTAGGAAATTCCTACATACCTTCAAAGATCTTCTTTAACATGCACTGCTGGGAATTTTGAGTGGTGCAGACCCCTTCTCCACGTAGACATTTTCCGTCTTCATTCATGTAAGCACATGTGTGGCAACTTATTGCTACACCTGGAATTTGAAAAGTGCCTCATGAAATTTCCAGATGAATCAGTTGTGTTTCTGTGTCACACATCTGTGTGTGTGGGGGGGTAGGGTGCATATCGGGGTGGGGTGAGAGGGGATGATGTGCAAAAAGAAGACTGCCTTCAACACGTTTATTTCTTAGTTCTTTCTGGCAGTACTGGGGACTCAACCTAGGGCCTCAGGGCAAGCACTCTATCACCGAACTATAGCCCCAGCCCTGAGGATCTGAGGGCCCTGTATCTGATAGAGCATTCTTCCCCTCCCCGCCCCCCACCTTTCTCTCCCTCTTCTTTTATCTCTCCCCCTTTCTCTTTGTTATTAGAGACAGGATCTTGCTCATTTGCCCAGACATTTCTTAAATTTGCTATATAATACCTCAGACTGGCCTCAACCTCTCCAGTGTAAGGATTATAAATGTACATTACCACATTCACTTTTCTGAACAAGAGGAAATACCTTTGCTTTTGCTGCTTTGTTTGTAGCCTTTATTGCTGACAAATCCCAAGTTTATCTTATAGTAACTTATTTTTGTCTCTATTCTATTGGCTTTCTGAACAGAAGAAATGCCTTTCTATCATGTTTTACTTCATAGGAGAAAAGTGCCATATAACTGAACCCCTGTTATAGTCTCACCACAAGACAAAAATACTTGGGACCAATTAGACTGGTAAATAAGCTATATTAAAATGTTGTTATGATGCCAGCCCTGTGAAGAGTCTGCATTTTTCTCCCTTGGGGTGGGGGTGGGGGGTTGAGACAGTTTCACTCATTAGCCTAGTCTGGCCTCAGTGTCCTAGAATCCTCCTGCTTCAGCTTCCTGGTTAACTGAGGTGACAGGCAGAAGCCATCAGGCACAGCTTCCATTTTCAAATTAATATTGTTGAAAGTCAGTAATGGGATCCTCTTTGAAATGCTTCTGCATCATCTTTTACTATCTCTAGTGCTAACCTCCTTTCAAGAAGCATGAAGTAGTAGAGGGAAGAAAAAGTACAAATTTAGCTGGGCATGGTAGCAATGCCTTTAATCCCAATCCTTAGGAGGCAGAGGCAGGAAGATCTTTGTGAGTTCAAGGCCAGCCTGGTCTACATAGTGAGTTCCAGGCCAGCTGGAGCTATAGGGAGACCCTGTCTCAAAAAGACAAAAAAAACAAAGTACAAAGTTTAGACAGACCTAAGTTTAAACCCAAGGTTTGCTGCTTTCTAGGCATGTGTCTAACATCGGGGATCATAGTTTACCTAAAACTTATAATCAATAATAGTACTTATGCAGTAGGGTGAACTACTTACATCTGATAGTAACTTAAAGGCTTCAAACTTTACGTCTTATTTTCCTACTGTGAACAGGGTATGTGTGGAAGTCAGAGGACAATTTGTGAGTCAGTTCCCTCCTTCTACCATATGCGTCCTAGGGATTGAACTCAGGTTGCCAGACTTGGCAGCAAGCATCCTTACCCACTGAGTCATCCTGCTGGCTTCATAATTTCTTATGGATGATGGAGTTTGAGAGTCTACTGGCATTTTGTATTTGTATTTTTTTCTTAAAGAGGGTTGTCCTTCAAGTTGTGTTACTTTTAGGAGCTTATAAAAGCTAGAAAAATGCCTCGATATTATTGTAAAGAAATGTAGAACCTTTGAGAGAGCTACTTGGGAAGTGTTAATGATTTTTCTACACAACTTCCCCAAAATTAGGTTGTCCTGCTTGGTGTGTTCCCTACTTCCTCCTCCCCATTCCCCCCTTGTTATTGGAGACAGGATTTTTCTCAGTTGTCCAGGCATTCCTTGAACTTGATAGGTACCCCAGGCTGGCCTCAACTTCTAGTCAAAGACCAATACCCATCCAATGTAGCTTACCTGAAGATGTGCTTGGAAATGATGTGCTCATAGCCTGTTCATCTGAACCCATTTCACCTGAATTGTGCTCGACTGAAGCCTCTTCACCTAAGTTATGTTCACTTGGCTCTTCAACACCCTTTTCACCTGAAACCTGTTCACCTGAAGATGGTTCTTTTGAAGGGTGTTCACCTGAAGCCTGTTCTTCTGTAGGATGGTCACCTGACACCTGTTCACCGTGCTCAGCATGCTCACCTGTAGATTGTTCAGGTGAAGTGTGCTCACCTGAAATATGTTCATGTTCACTTACAGCATGCTCACTTGAACTGTGTTCATTTGAATGATCATTTAGAGCTTTCACAATGGAAGAAGTCTCATATAAAGCCTCAACATCTGAAGGGTTTGCGAGTGAAAAGTACTCACTTGAAAGGTGCTGAACAGAAGCTTGGCGGTCCATAGAGTCAAGGAGCTCATCAGGCTGACCTGATGCTCCTGGGATGAAGACAAAGAAAAATGGTGCAAATGTGAGAGAATGGGGTTAAAACTGCTTTCCTATGGAGCCACTCGAGTGGAAGTTCCTAGGAATCTAGATCAGATACTTGAAAATAGTATAGATGTGGAGGAAAGTCATCTAGCTACTCCAAGAGACCAAGAAGGACAAAAGTGTTTAATTAAAAGTGCTGAGACTTTAAAATGCTTAAGAAGTTTAGCATTGGGGATCCTTTCACCTAAGCAAGAAAAGCATATGAAGGGAAATGACTGTCCCTCTCTGACAAAGCCATCAGAAATCAAAGCACTCTCATCAGATGTCAGCTACCAACCCTTCCTCCAGTTCCTCTGTAGATGGAAGGCAAGGAGAGTAGAGAAAGAGGAAAAAGAGAGAAAGCAAATGCCCCCCTTTTTCCAAACAGGGTCTTGCTATGTGACCCTAGCTGAGAAATTGCTGTATAGACCAGGCTGGCCTCGAACTTGTAGCAGTTCTCCTGCCTCTACTTCCTTAGTGCTGGAATTACAAGGTGTGTGCTAAAATGCCTGACAAGTAACTTATACTACTAATTTCAGCTTAATTTGATTTTTTTTTGGGGGGGGGTGCTGGTGATTAAACCCAGAGCTTTATTTGCTAGTAGAAAAATGTAACCTTTGGATGGGATACACTTTAGAAGATGATAGTCCTGAGTAAGTCTCTAAAAATCATCAGATGGGATTTAAATCATGTTGGTAAGGTGCTTTCTTATCAGGCATAAATGTTGAGTGGCTGAAAGAACAGAACTGGGCTAAGCCAAAGGGCTTCTCTTAAGATCCAGCCATACCTAGGAGAAATCAGCTCTTGTGTAGGAGCTCTCAAGGTGGTTTTCCTTAGTTAACTACTGATTCTGAGTCAGGTTGGTTTCGGTAACTAAGAGACTGGTCTTCCTTAAAGGAACCCCACTCCCCCGGTATCCACCCAGAGTTAGGTGTCTAGAGAGAAGGCTTACCTTTGGTAGATACAAGCAGATAAAGACTGATTAGTAAGATTAACTCCTTCATTTGGATCTAGGAAGAGGGACCTCTAGTGTGGTACACCGAAGAGCTGAGACAAGACTGAGCAGAAGCTCCCAGTGTTGAATCAGAGTCTCTGGGAATTCTAGAACTTGAGAAGTAACTTGTGTCCTCACTATGGGCTGTGCTGAGGTCTTCATGACCTGTTCAGGCAGACTGGTCCTTAACCCATGACAAATGCCACTAGGGAAGGATAATGAGTGCTTTCTATGTGTTGTAGGATAGTGAGGGCTGTCTTTAAAAAAGTTACCAAAATACATTCTTTTAGTAAAGTTGAAAAGACAGCTTTTTAAAAGAGGGTTGTCAACAGTGAGCTATTGTAGTCTGATTATTTTCTCTTTGACTCTCTGAGTACTTATCTCTTAATTATTTTTCTCTCCCCTGTTTATTAGTCTATAAGCCCCCTGAAAGTAGGGATCTTATCTGTCTCCTCTGCTCTTGTAGCCCTAGTGTCTGGCAATATGCTTGCCACATAATAGGTACCTAATAAACTTCCTGAATGAAGAAATAAAAGCCTTGGCTTTTCTGGGTCTTTCTCTGACTCATAGAAGAGAATCTATAGAGGCCCCCTCCCACCACCCCTCCCATTTCATGTCCATTATTTTCTGTCCTTTTTTGATTTAAAAATTTTAATACTTTATTTTTAAATTTTTGTTTGTTAAAGGGCCTTATTGATTTCATTCTGTGCCTCCCACATGCTCCCATGTGTGGGTCCATACCCTAGCGTCTGGTCAACCTACCACGCATCATATCAGTATGGAAAACTGATATTCCCCATCCCAGCATCCATCAGTTGCCGATAGATACTCAGCTAGGGCTGGGGCTTTCTGTCTGCCCTTGTAATTTTTGTGGGCTGCTTCAAAATGATGATTTAATCCAAATGGGGTTTCTCTCACAGGAATTTGTAGCTCAGCTATGGAGAGCTGAGTTGAAAGGTCTTTGAGACTGAGGAACTGAGACTATTTGAGGCAAAAAAAAAGAGTGGGAAGCCAGGAGATCCAAGATTAACAGAAAAGAACACAGGTGGCACATACCATGCCTCCTTCAGCTTACCTTGAATAACAGAATCATATAGATGAATTGTGGGCATGCATTCCATCTGGGCCAGGCCCCATGGAGACCCTAGCACAGACTGTGGCCTGAAAGGTAGGCCTGGATGTGTACCAGTTTTCTTGTGGGCCTTAGTTTCTTCTAGTGACTTCTTCCTGTCTGTGTTCCTGTTGATCTATTTTCTTCTGAACTCATTTTTCTCTATTCTCTCTTTCTCTCTAATAATATATAATGTGTGTGTGTGTGTGTGTGTGTGTGTGTGTGTGTGTGTGTGTGTGCATGTATT